TTTGTTTCTTTTCAATGCAAAAAAATCTAGTGATTCTGTCAGAAATCCAGTGTACTTATTACCTCCACTATTTGTCTCTGCTGTATTGAAATCATAAGCAGTGTTATTAGTCCTAACCAGTTCTCTTCTGTAGACTACAGACCATCTACCCTCTGTTTATGGAGAAGATGGGGAGGGATTATATAGGGTTCTCTTGGGGTGACAGCACTGCTTGCCCTCAGATGCAATACAGAAAGTGAGTGTTGTCACCTTAGGACAGGACGTGTGTTACTGGCAGGATCGCAAGATGAAAATAAAGGAAAAAAAAACCTGAAAAAAGCTAATGCAACCACCACATTTAAAGAATAGTAAGCTGCAAAATACTACATTTTTGTTATTGGAATTGTTATTATTGGAACACCTTAAAAGACAAGAGCACCCAACACGGTTTTTAGAGATCATAAAATCATGATTTTTTTTTTTTTATCAGAATGCAGTAGAGCATTCTCAACACTGATTTTCTAATCCTGTCTGTAGAAAACTAGACCAAATATTGCTGCTTAGCAAGATATACCATCTGACTGCAACAAGACAGATTTTAAAGCTCAGTTTAGGACTAGGACAGTGAAACATGATGGTGGACAGTTTTGTAGATTCCTGCATACTGTTTATTTACATGCCTAGAAACCTCACAGAAGTCAGTGAAGAGTTCTCTGTAATGGCAGTGTGAGCATAACTATAATGAACGGCTAGATGTGACAAGAAGCAGAGACACTGCGTACAATTGCTCTAGCAGGCATAGCATATTATAGGTGGCCTGTGACTTTCTAATAGAGACAGCTTCACATCTTATGCACCATGGGGGAGAGAATGCACATATAGTACACAAAGTGACAAGGAACATTAGAAACTGTATAGAATGAAAACATTAGTTATAGATATTTGTTATAAAGCTGAAGTCCAGGCAGTTATAAAAACTAGCACATCATAAAACCATAAAATAAATTTGACTTTTAAAGGTAGTAAGTGCAGATCCAACACAAATGTCATACTTAAAAATAAGCTGATTTTATTACAAGATATCATAAAAACATAATGTTTCACGACACTTGCTTTCTCAATGCAGAAAAGAGGAGTTAAACAAACTTGGCACTTAAGGTGCAGCTGTAAGATGAATGCAACTAAAATGTATGATACAAACCTCATCTTTATTTAAAAAAAAAAAAAATAGCCTTCAATCATATGTGCAATGCCCTCTAGGTTAGCCAGATTATTATTATTTATTATACAGTATTTATATAGCGCCAAAGGGTATGCTCAGCGCTGTACAGTAGCAAGGGGGACAGAACATGAGACAAGACAGTAACAATACAATACACGAGGGGTTCGAGGGCCCTGCACTTTCGAGCTTACAATCTAGGAGGGAGGGGAAGGTGGTACAGGAGGAAATGGCTGTGGGGGATGGAGTGGTGGGAGGAGTGGAGGAGGTTAGTTGTTAGGTGAGGTCAGTGTTAGGTGAGGTTGGGGTAGGCTTCCCTGAAGAGGAGGGTTTTCAGGGTGTACCTGAAGATGAGGAGGGTAGGTGACACTCTGATGGATTGGGGTAGGGAGTTCCAGAGGATGGGGGAAGTCCTAGAGAAGTCCTGCAATCGGGCGTGGGAGGAGAAGACCAGGGAGCTAGAGAGTAGGAGGTCCTGTGAGGAGCGGAGGGCATGGGTAGGGTAGTATTTGGGTATCAGATCGGTTATGTAGTTTGGGGCGGCGTTGTGAATGGCCTTGTACGTCAGAGTTAGCAGTTTGAATTTGATGCGTTGGGCAATCGGGAGCCAATGAAGGGATTGGCAGAGGGGGGAGGCAGATGTGGAGCGGTTGGTGAGGTGGATGAGTCTAGCCGCTGAGTTTAGGATCGACTGGAGTGGGGATAGCGTTCGTTTGGGTAGGCCAGTGAGAAGGGAATTGCAATAGTCCAGGCGTGAGATGAGGAGAGAGTGTACGAGTTGTTTGGTGGTGTCTGGGGTGAGGAATGTGCGTATCTTGGAGATGTTGGGGAGGTGGAACCTGCAAGATCTAGATAGCAGTTGGATGTGGGGTAGGAAGGAGAGGTGGGAGTCCAGGGTGACACCCAGGAATTTGTGGGGTGGGAGAGATGGTGGCGTTGTAAGTAGTGATGGAGAGGATGGGGGGGGGGGAAGACCAGGAGATAGTAGTTTGTTGTTTTATTTTTTTTTTTTTAGGCAGAGGCTGAGTAGCAGCCTGGGATGAGGTTAGCCTGTAGGTGAGGCAGGAGCAGGGGCGGACTGACCATTCGAGCACTCGGGCACTGCCCGAGGGCATGGGGTCAGTAGGGGGCCCCATGAGATGCCCCTGGTACCTTTCCTTGGCTTTTTCATAGGATAATTTGGGTGTGGGCAAAGACACAGGGGCCCCATGAGTTGTCAGTCCACCCCTGGGCAGGAGTTAATCTCAGGACAAGCTAGGGCGTGGGGGGGGGGGAGGAGTTTCTGAAGGTCAGAGTTTCTGGAGCCCTCCCAACTCTCCAGAAACCAGAGAGCTTTCTGGAGGCAGGATGGAGGAGGGGAGGAAGCTCGAAACTGAATACTTGAGGGAGCTTGGCCAATCCCTTGGCAGGGGGCTGGGCATGGTGACCAAGGCAACCCTTAAGTGTCGAAGAGCCTGGCTGAAAGGGAGCAGTGTCACATAGAAGATGGAGTGAGTGAGAGGCTGGAGTGTTGGGCCTGGGAGGGGGCCCAGGCAAGGAGCCTACCTTCAGGAAGGATGCTGGAGAAGAGGATCTCCATTATATCTCCGTCTCCAAGGAGAGACTGAGCAGCAGGGAAGGAGCCAGTGCAGCAAAAGGCCTGAAGGCAGCCACCTACCCAATAGGCTATCAGGAGAGGGGCAGTACTACTCCTACACCCCTGGGCTGGATAAGGGGAGAGGGTAGTCAGGTGGAAAACCCAACTAGCTTCTCATCGTAGGCTGATGTGCTAAATTGGCAGTTTCAGGGCCCCCTTGCCCAGGAGATACCCTCAGGCAGCTGAGTGAAGACGAGAATTCATCTGGGGTCTGAAGAGGTACACCAGAGAGCTGGAATGCTCTTACAGGAGAGACTATTTTTGCCCACATCTGTACATAGTTGCTAAGGAGTTTGTCCTCACGTTTGCAGTTTCCTTGGGCATCCCATACACCCCTCAACCCCATCCAAGTTCTAAACCCGTTAATAAAATCACAAATACCAAGCTCAAGGGTTGTTTACTGTCTCCAGTGTGCAAAGTGTGAAAGAAAATGCATGTTGCCTGGTTGTGCAGCACTTTAGGGAACCCAAAAGTCAGTGACTCCTAAGGGGTAGTGCTACATATGCATACTGTATATGAGTTATTTCAGCATACAAATTATCTTAATCATTTGAGCATTCCCAATTGGACTACCACCAATCATACCCTTACAAGAACTAGTCATACTGTAATGGACCGCCTAGCGGCACCACTAGCACTCCACTGGTCAGGTGTGCCCAGAGCACGGAATCTAAGCCCCAGGGTACTTGTTCACTAGAGCCCCTGATGGTGGGGATGGACTTGGAGTACCCCGAGACCAGGTCGCGACTACTGAGCACACCCGTCAGTGGTAGGGGTGTTCGCCAGGGGCTCCAACAGGGAGAGCCTGATATGAGGAGGTCGGGTGACCCCGATGGGATGGATGGATATGGCTGAGCAAGTGCGAAGTCAGACAGGCCGAGTCGGTAACAGAGAGGACTGTATGGTACAAGGCAGCGGGCAGAGAATCGTCGGGTCACACGCCAGGTCAGCAAACAGCAGGTCAGATCTAATTGAGGGGCATTCAGAAAGAGGTCAGGCAAAGCAAGGGTCCCTGGGCAGGAGAAATCAGCAGGTCAAGAACAATCCGGGTCAACAACTTACTAGTAACAGGTTCGCAGGAGTACAGGATGCAGGTAAGACCAGAAGGCACTGAATGACAGCTCAGGGCCATTTAAATATCCCGCCCCTGCGCTGCCATTGGAGAAAGAACTGCCCAGCGGGCGGCCGTGGCTTCTACTGCGCATATGCGCAATTAAATAAAATCGAAGAATGCTGCGCCGGCCTGGACCTAGTGCCCGTGTCCCTGCACAGGGCGGCGCAACTGTGCCTGCGCCGGGACCATCGCTGCGGGGATCGCGGAGATCCCCCTGACACATACATAAGCCTAAGCAGTCAATTAAGATATCCTCAATACAGGCAAAATACGAGTTATATACAAGGAGTGATGGATTGTTCTACTTGTTGGGCAATCATAGCTTTATCAGGAAGATATGGTTGGAAAGATCTGTATTGTTATTAAACTGGGTGCCGGGTATATGCCTAGCAATCCTATTTTGTGTATACCATTGCTTCTCAAATACATGATATCATATGCAATTTTGAAACCTCCAGACCCACTATCCTATGGTTAGAATAATATATTCCCACAGATGATAGCATTGCATCAGTCATATTGGGATATTGTTCAATCTGTTGGATAGTAAGATCTAATGGGGGCACAAAATAACTCTGTGAAGGGAGATTTACTAAAACTGTAGCACATCAGAATCTGGTGCAAGCCTGTGGCACGGTAGCCAATCAGCTTCTAACTTCAGCTTGTTCAATTGAGCTTTGACAATAAAACCCGAAGCTGATTGGTTTTTTGCACAGCTACACCTGATTTTTTCCCACTCCAGTTTCATAAATAACCCCCTGTGTATTTTTAGATGAACAGAAATTACTTCATTCAGGACAGCCAGGGAGGCAAGTAGTTTAAAATCATATAAATTACACCGTGTTCATAACAAGGATATATTCATAGCAAATTATTGAATGTATTTAAAATTATTTAGCGTAGATACTAGAAGATGAGCGAAGGATAATTCAAAAATTCGATTCGACTGATTCGGTCGGCTCGAATTCGTGGAAAAAATTTCGATTCGAATCGAATATATTCGCTGTGAATTTAACTTAAAAAAGGGTGGTTTCTAGCCTTCAGAGAGGACTTAATATTAGTGCAGAATCACTGTACCTTTAATTTAAATGCCCTTGGAGTCTGCTGGTGAAGAGAAAATCATACTGTCAGTCCAGTATGACAATGCCAGATGGAGTGCCGTCCGAACTTTAGAATCCACCGCACACACTTCACTCATTTGGGCATATCACGGGGGCCAAAAACCAAGAGTGTGGAGCCACAGTGGTGGGCGGTGGAGGGGCTGCAGCAAATGGGAGGCCATACAGGCACCCTATGACAAAAATGGAACACACCAGCAGTGTGAGGGAGACCTGAAAGTGGCACACCAAAAAAGACTGGCAGAGTGTGGCGAATAGAGACAGCAGCAATGGGAAGGCCGTACATGGACCCATGACACACTCTGGACCTGGCAAGCAGCATGAGGAGGCGTAACAGGGGCCCATGACAGATTTACGGGCCTGGCAGCAGCAATGAGGAGTCGGTACGGGGCCCCATGGCAGATTACGGGCTGGCAGCAGTCAATGGGAGGCCGTACAGGGACCCATGACACACTCTGGACCTGGCAGCAGCATTGGGGAGGGGCGTAACAAGGGGCCCATGAACAGATTACGGCCTGGCAGCAGCATGGAGGAAGTCTGAGTACGGGGGCCCCATGACACACTCTGGACCTGGCAGCAGCATGAGGAGGCGGTACAGGGTCGCATGACAGATTACAGACCTGGCAGGCAGCAACTTGGACAGGAGGAACGTATACAGTCTTCTGCACGCCATCGGGTGCGTGCCTCGCAAACTGTTTGTCTCTTGGAAACAGGATTCCAAGAAAGACTAGCTGACGGGAATCCGTGAAGAGGAGTAGCAGGAGAAGGAGCAAACTGAACGAGCGGAATATGCCAACGTAAGTGACAACATGGGCCCATGACAAGATTACTGGCCTGGCAGGCAGCATGAGGAGTCGGTACGTGGGGGCCCCATGGGCAGATTACGGGCCTGGCACGCAAGTCTATGGGAAGGCCCGTAATCTGCCCAGCACCCTATGACAAAAAAAAAAAAAAAAAAAAAAAAAAAAAAAAAAAAAAAAAAAAAAAAAAAAAATAAAAAAAAAAAAAAGAAAAAAAAAAAAAAAAAAAAAAAAAAAAAAAAAAAAAAAAAAAAAAAAAATAAAAAAAAAAAAAAAAAAAAAAAAAAAAAACAAAAAAAAAAAAAAAAAAAAAAAAAAGAAAAAAAAAAAAAAAAAAAAAAAAAAAAAAAAAAAAAAAAAAAAAAAAAATAAAAAAAAAAAACACAAATAAAAATAAAAAAAAAAAAAAAAAAAAAAAAAAAAAAAAGAGAAAAATGGGAACCACCAGCAGTGTGAGGAGACCTGAAAGTGGCACATGGCAGAGTGTGTGCGATGGAGACAGCAGCAATGGGAGGCCTGTACAGGTAACCCATGAGAGACTCCTGGACGCTGGCAGCAGCATGAGGAGGCGGTATAGGGGCCCATGGCAGATTAAGGGCCCTGGCCAGCAGCCTATGTGCGGGCCCCCTAATCTGCCTGCACCCTCATGACAAGAAAATGGAGACAACACCAGCAGTGTGTAGGAGACTTGAAAGTGGCACATGCAGAGTGTGGCGATGGAGACAGCAGCAATGGGAGTGCCGTACAAGGGAACCCATGAGAGACTCTTCTGGACTTGGCAGCAGCAGCATGAGGAGGCGGTATACGGGCCCATGGCAGAGTAGGTGCCTGGCAGCAGCTATGGGAGGCCCAGTAATCTGCCCAGCAACCCTATGACAAAAAAAATGGAAAACACACACCAGTGTATGTGAGCGATACCTGGAAAGTGGCACATGGTTGTGGGGCATGATTTCATGCGGATTATAGTCAGTTGTGTCAGGAACTAGGTGGTTTGAAATCCACGACTACTCCACGCCTGATTCATGTTTTCACAAAACGTGAGTCTCCTCCCCACTTTGGGTGGACAGTCGTCGGTCCTCTCCGCGGAGTTTGCAAATACCTCCTGCCGGGCACTAAACACAGCGCTCCGCTTGCCAATCGCTACAGTCCGGGCGTGACCAAGCCTTATCAAGGGCAAAATTCAGTCTAGTTGGGGGCCAAAGGTCAAGTATCGTTGCCCAGTGTTCAAGGGATCTAGTCCTAACCTCGGTTTGGCTAGGCGATGCTGTCCAAGTATGGCCTAAGCCTGTTTGTTTGAGGTACTGCTCCCAGGTCCACCTGATGCTGCTGCTGCTGCTGCTCGCTTCGCTTGCGGCTGGTTAGTAGTTTCCTCACTGCGCTGGTGAAGAAAAGCTAACTCATCATCGACTGCAGTACTGAGGCCAGCCGCTGCTGGTGGACGCTGCCACTGCTCCCACCAACCCCAACACCCCTCCCCTGCATGCCATGGCCAGCGGAAACCTCGAGCGCACAGGGCCCACAGTGTCTGATGATGGACGTTGGCGCAGACATGGCAGAGACCAAAGCTGACTACATAGGTGGTATATTATAGGTACGGTTATTATTGGCCTCACCTCTCAGCAGGTGTAAAAAAAAGGCCACCATTTTTGAACGGTAGCGAAGGGTCCAACAAGGTGGACGAGCCAAAAGTCATCCCTACCCTGTCTGATGGATATTAATTCGGACTGTCAGCTACGCAAGGCAAAGTGCGAGCATGCTATGGGCCATTGTGTGCCAAGGAATGCGAGGGACCTTCCCTGTCCTCCATCTTCCACAGCATACTGCCACGGTGCGTCTTCGGTCCTCTGTCTCCTCTTCCTCCTCCTCTACCAGATGCTCCTGCTCCTCCACTCCTGTCCGCTGAGTGGAAAAAACCACCCATTTTCAGCTCAATAATTCCTGAGACACCAAATGTCCTCCTCTACCTCCTCCTCTTCCTTCCTGTCCTGCCCCCTGTAAAAGTATATATTATATTTTAATAATTTTTATATGAGTTTTAAATTATTCTTAAATTAGTTTATTTATATTGTTATACATTTAAAATTCATAATTGTATAATGATTTCATTATGCTTTTACACACATAGACAGAAATTGTTTAGTGACATATAAAAGAGTTAAGCGCCAGAAATCCACAAAAAAATAAGTCTACAGTCATGTAGTATTCTCTAACCCCAGGAAATGGTAAACTCTGATGGGTTACCTTGTTTTCCAGCAAACTGATAACATCATCGCCTGCTCATTGCACTGCCTTCATTAAATATCTCTGGTTCATAACAACCACCCAAGAGAATTCTAGGGTTATGAGCATTATTCAAAAAGAAGGCAAAGAGCAAAGTCTAGCGAAAACCTTAGCGACTACTCAGAAACCCTTTGAAAATGTTGGCAAATGTATACATCTGAGACGTAACATTTTTCACTAGAAGATACAAAGTCTGTTTTAATTAGGTCTCATTTTAGCTTGCAAGGATGAATTTGTTTGCTACATTTGTAGGCAATTTTTCCCTCCCAATAATGCACCTTTTCCCGTTAATTATACATTTATGAGCTGTTTTGCCATTTTCCCCACAGTCAGAAAAATCCTTGTACTGAGCTCTGTACTGCTGTCAACAGTTTTCCATGGGTGAACGCTTCATCCATACTCTCTGTACTGGTCTTATGTGATATTATATCACTGTTCTTATCTATCAACCTTCATTGCCAAAATTTAGGTACTTACTAAGATGAGCGTATCGGAAGTAGGCAGAAGTGGAATTACGAGTACGAATATTGGAAAATTTTCGATTCGCGCCGAAATCCCCGAAAAAATAGCCTACTTCGACTCCCGCACGACTCTAAATTTTTCCTAAAATGTCGGCGGACAATGTGCGGCGACGGAGCTGGGATGTCTGGGAAGTGTCGCGCAGACAAGGCGCGCTGACCCATAATGAGCATTCCTTAATGACATGTGATCGCATTAGCCAATTCAGCAGCCATGGCAGCCAGCACTGGTGTAATGGTCCGTACGCTATAATATAGCGGCCATTTTAGTATTCTTCATTTGCCTCCAGTCCCATTCAAGAAGAGGCAGACCGCTCTGTAAATTAAGGGACAATAGTTAGGGCCACAGAAACGTTACTTTGGGACAGAGAAACGTTACATTCGGGAACAGAGAAAGCATTTACTCATGGACCACAGAATTTGTTAATGTGGGCCACAGAATCGTTACTTAGGCCAAAGAAACGCTAGTTAGGGCCAGAATCCACAGAATTGTTACTCAGGGACAGACAGAATTGTTTACTGAGTGCCAGAGAATTGTTTACTTAGGGCCACAGAAACGTGAGTTAGGGCCACAGAATTGTTACTCAAGGGACAGACACAGAATTGTTACTGAGGGCCACAGAACTGAAAAGTATATGTTTTAATTTGTTTACCTTCTGTATCATTGACCCTTCCTTTTTAGATTTAGATCTAACAAGCAGAGCCCTCTGATTCTTACTGTATTCAATTGTATTGTAACTTAACTGTCATGCCCTCATGTTGTAAAGCCTGCCAAATTGTTGGTGCTATATAAATCCAGTATAACTGTAGATAATAATCATTAAATATTATTCATTATTAAGATTAATATTGTTTTAACTCTTTATATTACTAAACATTTCTGGTAATGGATGTTAGCGCTACCCTCGTGAGGACCGCTCTGTTTTTCCAGGTCCCACACAAGCCACGACCTCCACTCCGGCTGCGTCTTGGGTCATGCGACAGACTGATATCTAGACCGGGCTACCGAGTCCACTCTCCTCGACCCTACTTCTTCGCCCTGGGCTATCTTGAAAAGGCGGGGTCTCCCCCCCTTCCTGCCCCCCTCTGTTAGCCTTCCTCCCCGTACAGTTGGGGGTGAGCCCAAAAGCAACGATACTTTGCTTTGGTTTAGGGGAACACCAAAGGACAGGGGCGGGGTAGAGGACACGTGATTTCAGGGGCTTGAACCCGGGGCCATGCCAACAAGGGTTTTTGTGTCCTGAGGGTACCCACCGCCCCGTTGGCTGTAGGGGTAAAGGGGGACCGGGAAGAGGAAAGCCCCGAGCCAACCAATCGACGAGGGCAGGGTTTTTCGGTGGGACACAAACCCTGGATGACCCCAGGGGGGGAAGCCCTGGCCTCGGGCCCTGGAATAGTGCTGCCCGCCCCCTTTCCCTTCGGGCTCCCCACGTCTGCTCCCCTCCAAAAAAACATTGCCCTCCTCTGCCACCCTCTGCTGTTTTTTCTGACATCTTTTTAAATTTTCAACGATTTTTGTGTCCCTGAGTAACAATTCGTGCCCTGCCTAGTAAAAATTTCTTTTGTCCTGCCCTGAGTAAAAATTTCCCTGTGGCCATAAGTAACTTTTCTGTGGCCCCCAGTAAAAATTTCCTGGGTCCCCTCGGGAAAACCAATTCTGTGTCTGTCCCTGGGGGTAACAATTAGGGGGCCCCCAAAAGAAACCCGGTTTCTGGGGGCCCTCAGTAAAAATTTCCCTTTTTCCCCTGATTAACGTTTATGGGGCCCTAAGTAACGGTTCGGTTGGGGCCCTCAGTAATTTTTCCCTGTGTCCCTGGCCCCCAAACTGTGTCTGTCCGAGTAAACAATTCTTTTGGCCCTAAGTAACAGTTTGTGGCCCCAGTAACAATTCTGGGGTCCCTGAGAAACCCCTTTTCTGTGGCCCTAAGTAACAGTTCTTTTGGCCTCCAAGTAAAAATTTTTTGGTGTCCGAGTAAAAATTCTGGGGCCCCCAAGTAACGGGTTCCCGGTGGCCCTCAGTAACAATTTTTGTGCCCCCTAAAGTAACAATTCTGTGGCCCTATTACGGTTCTGTGGCCCTCGGGTAAAAATTTTTTTTTGTGTCCTGAGTAAAAATTCTGTGTCTGCCCCGAGAAGAAAAAATCGGGGGCCCTAAGTAATTTTTCTGTGGCCCTCAGTAAAAAATTCTGTGCCCTGAGTAACAATTCTGTGGTTTCTAAGTAACGGTTCTGTGGCCCCCCAGAAAACAATTCTGTGCCCGGGAGTAACAATTCTGTGTCTGTCCGAGTAAAAAATTCTGTGGCCCAAAAGTAACAGTTTTTTAACCCCTCAGTAAAAATTCTGTGTCCCTAAGTAAAAAAAAATTTCCTTTTGGCCCCCAAAGAAACGGTTCTGTGGCCCCCCGTAAAAATTTCTGTTTTCCCTAAGTAACAATTCGGGGGCCCAAAAAAAACCCGGTTCTGGGGCCCCCTCAGTAAAAATTTTCTTTTTCCCTAATAAAAATTTCCCCTTTGGCCCAAAAACCCGGTTTGTGGCCCTCGTAACAATTCTGGGTCCCTCAGAAACCCAATTCTGTGTCCCTCAGAAACAATTCTGTGTCTGTCCCTAAATTAACGTTTACGGGGGGGGGCCCCTAATTTCGGTTTTTTGTGGCCCCTCAGTAAAAAATTTTCTGTGCCCCTGTTTAAAAAGTTTCTTTTGGCCTAGGAAAAGGGGTTTGGGGGGTTGGGGGCCCCTTTCAGTAAAAAATTCGTGTCCCCCAAGAAACAATTCTGTGTCTGCCCCGTA